AAACCTTTGTGAAGGTGTTGGAAGATTAAAATATTAAAACATTTCTGAGAAATAATAATATTAAATAATACATTTTATAGGAACATACTTAAAGCAAAATGAGAATTGAGTAAGGCAAAAAAATGTTAATGCCAAATAATGATTTTATTTTTAAAGGGAAAGCAAATATTACAACTATAGTAAATACATAGCTGCAATCATTAGGAAAAAATTTTCACTTAATTTCTAATGGAAAAAATTCTCAGACAACCACAAATGTATACAGAATATGAATAAAATTAAACTTTTGAATAAACATTATTCTCTAAATGAGAATTTGTATACATACTCTTGGAATTTGTAAATTTTAAGCAAATGATATAATATGGAAATAGAGTTAATGCATATTAGAAAATGGAAGTGTATATTTTCTTTCAACACATGGCAGCTAAATTTATTGCATTTTAGGAAGTTTAAATAACCGGTACCTATATTTTTGTTAGATTATCCATTAGAAGTTAGTCACTTAGAAGAAAATAGTTGTTTTCCACTGGGAATGGTTGGGGGCCAAAACTGATCTTGAACTTGGTTTTTATATGCATTAATTTTATAAAATGTTTTTCACTGTTTAAGTTAAATTTAATGCAATTGATTTTACACTTTTTCTAGCCTTTGGATGGAAAAATTATTAAGGTAGAGCAAGCCAACAAACCATCTTTTGAAAGTGGTAGTAGACAGAAACTTTCACTTCCAAGAAACAGAGGCACCACAAAAAGTCTGAGATGTCGAAGAGAAGGAAATGGAGGAGCAGAAGGGCATCCCCATCCCTCAAGTGGAGGAAGTTTGAGTAATGTTTTAAAACATAAGGATGTACCCAGGGGAATGAAAAACTGTAAGTTGTGAATGTACAAAAAAAGTCAGTTTTTATTTATTTTCTTTTTTTTAATAGTTTTTTTTTTTTAATAGAGGCATGCTTTTATTTATTTATTTATTATATTTGTTTGTTTGTTTTGTTTATACATGCACTGGGTACAGTCAGAAGCGCGGGAGGGTGAGAGAATTCACCAGAGCCAGACTGGGGAGCAGAGCAGGCAGAAGGACTGTAGTACACTGCTGAGGGGAACAGCGGGTGGCAAGAGAGTCTGCGCACCATGTGGGATCCTCCTCCGTTGGCCAGGGAGCAGCCAGGGATCAAACCGGTGCCGCAGAGGCCGAGGGCAGCTTCGCAACCCAGTGCTCAACCGCTGCGCCACCGGGGAGGCCCAGATTTTATTTATTTTCTATATGAGGAAAATAGTTTTATGATTCATTAGATGAAACATTAGCATTGATAGTAAATACTCCTCTCCTTCTGGGATTCCTATAACTCTTAAATTTCCTTTCCTCATGGAGTCAGATAATAAATACTTATTTTAAGTGATGAAGAGCAATAAAAATAAATAAAATATAATATACCAAAAATAATTAACTTGTGAAGAAATAACAAATTACACACTTAGTCTTTGTCACTGTAACTTAAGTAGAAAAATTATTTACTATACTTCTAATTAATTTCTTTTGATCATACATTAGTTTAAATCAGTCATTCATAATAACAACTTACTAAAAAAGGCACTTGTTTGTTTTTTGCTGAGTGTATTTTATTCAGTTTAAAACACTAGGAATCTTGAAAACAAACACTGACTTTGTTTTAACAAATATGAAAAATTAAGACCATGATACTGTTTAGTACAAACTTAACAAAATACTGAAATGCTAATTCTCATGATCTAAAAAGATTTTATTTTAACACAGATGATGGTGAATATGCTCTTAATGTCAACATGAGTTCTTGTAGGGGCCCCTCTGCAGTTAAAAGAGGTCCTTCTTCAAGAAGTGGAGGTCCCCCTCTTAAAAGATCCTCTCCTTCTTCATTAGGGCAAAACAATAGTGTGATGGGAGAATGAGGTAAATGTTGTATACTGCAAATACCATAGGTTATTTTTAAAAAAAAATATTTATTCATTTTTATACAAGAACCCGGGTAAAGGCCACATGCGCAGAGGGTGAAAGGATTCACCAAAGACAAAGCGTGGAACAGAACAGGCAGAATGAGGAAATACTCTGTTGAGGGGAGCAGTGGGCACAACAGGAGAGGTCTGCTGCACCATGTGGGAGTCTCACGGCTGGCCAGGATTGAACCCACACTGCACAGGGAAAGGATAGCTCAACTCCTTGTGCCACTAGGGAGGTCCTTACCATAGGTTCTTATGAATGAGAATAAATTATTTTAAACTAAATAATTAGCCTTAAATGCAGGATGCAAAATGTGAAGTGTTAGTGGCATATTTTGCTAATTAGTGATCTCTTTATTGATTGATGGTTAGTGCCTCTACTTACTATGCAGTGGGTGACTAGAACCACATTGGAAAATACATTACTTTTAAATTATGTTTGTTGTTATCCTTTGAATTTTTACTAAAATTAATACTTACACTTTGATTACTAGGTTTTCTTTTTTACATAATTTCAGTATCAAAATTTTTGTGAAAACTGTAGTGCCCTGTGAGAAAATTCTGCAGCAAATTTTGGCTGTAAAATTTATCACGCATAGAAACAGTAATGGAGACTTTCTGTATTATAATTTTCCTTTATTTGGGTTGTGGTGTCATCTTACTAAAAATAATGTATTTTAAATATATATGGTGGTGAAATTATTCAATCTCAACATGAGTACTTACAAAACATTCTTAATAATGGTACTGTAATCTAAAAGTTAGCAGAAAATTTTCAGTTTTAAATCATCACAATGTTTAGGTTCCTAAGGTTTAGTTTTTGTGTTTAGTTTTTAAGTGTTTAGTTTTTGTGTGTGCTAAGAAATGTATGATTATGTACAAGATAAAGTTTATGCTTCCAAGAATTATCTCATTAGAGAGGAAATTCATGGAATAAATGGAATAGAAAAATTTTCTGGTTTGCTGAGAAATAATCATATTGGCCTTCGATAACATTTAAAAAATAAGACTTTGGGGCCTCCTGGTGGATCAGCGGGTTGAGTGCAGCGCTATGAAGCTTTCCAAAGCCTCTGCAGCACCGGTTCAATTCTCTGCTGGCCAGGAAGCTACCCATATTGCACGGCATAACTCTCCTGTCTCACCCACTGCTCCCTCTCAGCAGTGATTTCAGTCCGCTGGCCTGTTATGCTCCCTGCTCTGTCTTTGGTGAATCCTCTCACCCTCCCACACCTCTGGCCTGTAACCCAGCTCTTTTATAAATAAATTAAATCTTTAAAAATATATAAAAATAAAAATAGGACTTTGAGCATAAACTGAAGGAGTCAAAACATTATTAATTTTTTCATTATTTATGCATACAACAACTGGGGAAAAGAACAGAGGTGTGTGTGAGAACAGAGTCCTCTCACCAGGGACAGACTGGGGAACAGAACAGGAGGATTGACTGAAATACACTGCCAAGGGGAGCAGTGGGTCAGTCAGGAGTGGTCTGCTACACCATGTGGGTAGCTCCACAGCCAGGGATTGAACTTGTGTTGCAGTGGCTGAGGACTGCTTCATAGTTTGCATTTTAACCCCTTGTGGCACCAGCAAGGCCCAGGTCAGATATTTTAAGTTGAGGTCAAGCATCGATATACCTTTGATTATTAAGTAGAACATAAATGAATCATCATGATCTGTATAGAGTTGTTTTAAAATCTGTTCCCTAGTCAATACTTAATTTATTTAAGGGAATTATTTGAGGTTTCGAACCGACCATGAGATCAGTGGGATTAAACCTAAGAACAATTATTTTGAAAAGGAAGTATAAAATATGAAATTGGACAGAGAAGGAAACTAGGGGCTATAGTAACAACCCTTAGTAAATAAGTATAACAATGAATCTTTTAAGCTAATAATTTTTAAGAGAACTTCAGTTTTTATCTTCAGTGTTGCTATTTAATGTGGTAGAAACTTAAAATCTGCATTACCAAATACACCTTTCATGTGTTGAAAATCAATAAGCTAGGTATAATTTGGTTACTAACACAGAAAATCTAGATTTTCCCATTAGAGAATTTGCTAGTGGCAAATAAAACTAATTCTTTAAATATTATTGTTACAAGTAGGAGAAATCAGATTACATCATTAAAAGGGCTTGTAAGTTTTTATTTATCAGTATTAGAAGAGATCCAGCTATTTACATAGAAAATATATAAAGAATGTTGCACATTGTGACATATATCCTAATAAAAGATAGCAGAGTTTGTATGTAGGATAAATTGAACAACATCAGTATGTTTCTTTAGCTGAAAAAATGTAGTTTAATCAATGCAAGATTGAAGAGTTTTTATATTTCTTTGTAATATTGTTATTAATAACCAGGTCCTCTAATAATAAGTGAAATTTATTTTTTTTCTCTTGAGTAGTTCTTCACCATTGTAAATTAATTTACACTTTTTTTAAAGATTTTTTTTTTCATGAGTATAAGAACTGGGTACAGGTAGAGGTGTGGCGTTTGAGGGTATTCATCAGAGACAGAGTGGAGACTGACTGAAATATACTGCTGAGTGGAGCAATGGGCGAGAAGAAGAGGTCTCTTCTGCCATGTGGGTCAGGGATTGAACTGCTGCAGTGGCTGTGTCCTAACCCCTTGTGCCACCAGGGGAAACTTACAACTTTAAATGAACCTTTATTTTAAGCATTATAGAAATACTGTCCTAGAAAGAACTGTATAAAGCTATGATAAATATTAAGCTGTCCTGTAAGATTTTAGGGATTAAAAGAAAAAAAAAACAAAAAACAGTAATTCTGAATAAGCAAAGGACATGACATGTGCATTGTATTTAGAAGTTCAGCAGTGAGATTAATTGGAAAATGAGATTTGATGAAAAGCAGAAAAAGTACCGTAGTTTCATGCAGTGAAGGGGATAGTTTAAGAAAAAGTCATGAATCAAGAATATTAAGATAAAAGTAGCTGTTTAATGTTACAAAAATTAGTCTAAATAAAGGACTGTAGGAGACAGATGAATTACAAGTTCTTTGTAAATGTCCTTAATATATTAACAAGTGCCAGTTAAAGAGTGTTGCCATATGCTCACCATGACAGTTACCGTGTGTGTGTGTGTGTGTGTGTGTGTGTGTAAATAATTGTGCTGGGTCTTAAAAATATGGTCTTAAAATATGGTTTAAAAAATAGCATGAATAGGAGAGTTGAATAGATACTTGAAATGAACAGATGATAATTAACTTCATTTGTGGAGAATTTTTTTAAGATTTATTTATGCATATAATAATTTATTTATGCATATAAGATTGATTTATTTATGCATATATTTATGCATACAGGCCTGAGTTGTAGGGGGTGAGAGGATTCACTAGAGACAGAGTGGGGAACAGAATAGGCGGATTGACTGAAGTACACCGCTGAGGGGAGCAGTGGGCATGTCAGGAGAGTTCTGCTATGCCATATGGGTTGCTCCGTGGCCAGCCAGGAAATAGAACTCATGCTGCAGTGATTGTGACAAGATTCATCGGTTGCATCTTAAACCCTCTTGCCACTAGGGAGGCCTGAAAATTTTAAAATCTTAACCAGGATAATAGTAAAACAATATTTGAATGTTGGAAAGTACATTTCCAACATTTCTGTTGTTGGGATACCATAATAAAGGAATGTAAAAAATAGTGGTAGTGATAAGGTAAATTTGAGATTCATTTAAATAATCTAGATAAGAAATGGACTAAAATAAGATAACAAATAGAGTTAGAAAAAAGCTGACAGAGATGAGATAGTAAAGAGGCAACTATAATCATTGATTTATGTATGGAGGTATTTCTCCCAAATTAAATTTATGTTTAGTGGTGATTCTATAGAATATACAAAGTTTAAGTACTGATTTTAAGGAAAATACTTGTGTGTGTATGTGTGTATACATACAAAGATAAAACAACCCATGGCCACCCCGTTGGCGCAGCGATTGAGCACTCGGTTGCACAGCTGCCTGCAGCCTCTGCAGCGCTGGTTCCATCCTCGACCACAGGGCTAGGGTCCCACATGGCTCAACAGACCTCTTTGCAGCACCCGCTGCTCCCCTTAGCAGTGTGTTTCGTAGGTGTGCCTCTTCTGTTCCCAACTGTGACTGGTGAATCCTCTCTCCCTCCCACGCTTCTGACTGTACCCAGTGCTTGTATAAATAAATAAATAAATATTAAAAAAAATAAAAAAGATAAAACAACTCAGTAATAATGAACAACTCAGTGATAATGCAAGGGCAGACAAAAATGAACAACATGGTATGTTGTTACATGTAATTTTTAAAAATTGTTCTGGAAAGAAAATAAATCGATTTTTTATTGTTGTTGAAACTGTACTCTCAATTTGAGATCTATACATAAGCATTTGTAATTTTAAATATCCAGTGTCACGAGAGAGAGAAAATTATGGAGGCCCCTCACGCAGACAGCCTGTTTCTTCCTGGAGAGATGATTATCTATCACCAAGAGATGATAGTTATGCTACTAAATATAGGTAAAGGAAAAAAAAAAAGTGATGGACAGTTGACTATATTTGTTTTTGGTTGTAGAAATGAAGTTTACCTCATATAAAATTAAACATCTTAAAATGAATAGTTTAGTAACATATAGTGTATTCTCAGTTTACTCAAATCTGTTTGACTTCAAATCATTTTGAAATAAACTCCTGTAATAGAAACTCATGTTTTCTTCTTCCTGCCCATGGCAAACACCCATTTGTGTTATTTCACAGGAAGGAAAGAAAACAATACGTGACATTATCTGTTTTTTTTTTTTCTTAACTGTTTTCAAAGGTCATTCTTGTAGTTGTCTAAAACATCACCCCTTTTTATTGGTGACCAGTGTGTATAGTTAACACAGTATATGTATCTGCTTGCTTCGGGTATTTGTACTATGATTTTATTTTGACTATTAATGTACATGTATTTGAGTACTTCTAAAGTCAGCTGGGCAGGAATTTCTGGGTCATGTAATCTATTTTTTTTTTCTTTTGAGGAACTAGATACACTGGCTACAGAAAAGTTGCATTTTAATTTGTACTAAAGTAAACAAGAATTCTAGTTTCTGTACATCCTCATCAATACTAGTTTTGTTTTTTAATGAGTCAACTTAGAAGGTGTAAAGCAGTAGTTTAATTTAAATTTTTTTGATATTAAACTGGTGTGCCTTCTCATCTTGTTGCCTGTTTTTAAAGTGTATTAATTCCTTCACCTATGTAAAAATTTGTTATTTTTGTTGTGATTATTCTTAAATATCTTGGCTATTACAAGTGTTTTTTTTTTATTTTTTAATATTAAGTTATTCAAGCAGAGATTATCCCAGTTCCCGAGACACTAAGGATTATGCTGTATCACTCCAAGACTATGCATACCAAAATTATGGCCATTCAAGTGCTCGAGATGAACATTCTTGTAGAGAACACAGGTACTGTAACAATTTCTGTTTTCCTCAGGTGGACCCTTGCTAGAAGTTATATATTCTGATGTTAAATACTTTTTTTTTTAGAGGTCGAGATAACTATGGTGGTGGTCATGATAGAGATTATTCTGAACATCCAAGTGGTGGCTCTTACAGAGATTCAAGTGAGAGTTATGGTAAGAGTCCATTTAATACTTTTCTTTATCAGTTAGATTAAATAACTAAATTGTATGTCTGCTTTTATTTCTGTGTCAGTACAACAAAGGCAAAGAAAAACTACAGTATATTTAAAGATAAATTAATTCTCAACTGTGCTTAAGCCGGAGAGACTCCTTCTAAGGGTAAATCTCTTTTCTTAAGGGAAAATTGTTAATATTTTTAAATAACAGAGACAGAGTTTAAGAGTAGACACACATGAATAACATGAAAGACAGATATCCAGCCTACTTTTAGATACTATGACATTTACTTAACACTACTTACACTCAGAAATACTCATAAATAGGGCCTCCCCGGTGGCGCAGAGGTTGAGCGCTGGGTTGCGAAGCTGCCCGCGGCCTCTGCAGCACCGGTTCGATCCCCGGCTGCTCCCCGGCCACTGGAGGAGGGTCCCACATGGCGCGCAGACCTCTCCTGCCGCCCGCTGCTCCCCTCAGCAGTGTACTTCGGTCCTTCTGCCTGTTCTGCTCCCCGCTCTGGTGAATTCTCTCACCCTCCCGCACTTCTGACTGTACCCAGTGCATGTATAAACAAACAAACAAATAAATAAATAAAACATGCCTAGAAAAAAAAAAAAAAGAAATACTCATAAATAACTATAAGTGGAAAATCATGCACTTCAGTAGTGTGATTGATTTCTTACATGCAAAACAGGTTTAGTCTGTCATTTCCAAATATGTAGTAGTTTGTATTTTAAGTTGTGTTATTTTATGATTGACTTTTACAGGTCGCTGCCGAGGTGCACCACCACCCCGAGGGGCCCCTCTGGCTTATGGGGAAAGTGGTTGCTATGATGATTATACTAGTACACGAGATGAATATGGTAGAAGTCGAGAAAGTTACTCAAGTGGCCGGAGTGACATCATTTCTAGTGGTTGTGAGCATGATGGTGGCAGACAAGAACGAGGGTTTCCACCTTCTGTGGAGAGAGTATACTCTGCTTCTCGTGATTCTTATGGTAGCTCAGGTTATGGAATATCCAGAGGACGCCATGGGGGAAGTAGACCTGAAAGAGGAGGCCATAGAAGATACTACAAATAATACTGTTATGTAAAAGTTACTTTCTTTGCAAAGAAAAAAAAAATATATATATATGCTGTTTTTCCCCCTATTTTGCCTGATTATTAGTTAAAAAAAACTGTTGGCATGGATGGCAAGGATATATGTTAACTTTCCCTCCATTAATTTTTGGATAACAAACGTTGAATGCAAAGTAATTTCATAGTTGTTGCTGTTAACTTGAAAATAGAACTTACCTTTTTTAAAAATGTCTTTTTAAGTTTTCAGAGTAAAAAATTCCATGAAATGTCTTTTTTGTGTCTGAATTTACTGATTTTAAAAAAAAAAGTTAGGAGAGTGAATTGGGATGTTTGCCTAAAATTTCCCATTGTGTGTGAACATGAATACCAAATTAAGTAGTGTCACTTTTTCACTGTAGATATTTTCACTTGGACAGACTAAAAAAAATATATACTCCTTTTGAAAACTTACAAATATTAAGGTTTTGGGCCTCCCTGGTGGTGCATTGGGTGGAGCACAGCACTGTGAATCTGTCCACAGTCTCTGCAGTGCAAGTTCGATTCCTGGCCTGCCAGAGAGGTTCCCACATAGTACAACAGATCTCCCCTGTTAGACCCGATGCTCCCCTCAGCAGTATGTTTTGGTCATCTGCCTGTTCTGCTCCCCGCTCTGTCTCTGGTGAATCCTCTCACCCTCGTGGACCTCTGGCCTGTTTCCTAGCTCTTGTATAAAAATAAATACATCTTGAAAATATATAAAAGTGTTGGGTCTCCCTCGTGATACAAGGGGTTAAGCACCACACTGTGAAACTATTCACAGCCTTTTCAGTGCTGGTTTAATGCCTTCTGGCCAGGGAAGTTCCCACATAGTGTAGCAGACCACTATTGTCTCTCCCGCTGCTCTCCTCAGCAGTGAATTTCAGTCATTCTGCATGTTTTGTTTCCCACTCTGTCTGTGGTGAATCCTCTTACCCCACCTGCTTCTCTGGCCTGTACCACAGCTCTTGTATGCATAAATAAATATGTATTTTAAAAAATATTGGGCATCCCCAGTGGTGCAGCAGGTTGAGTGCCATGCTGTAAAGCTGCACTGCAACCCCTGCTGGCCAGGGAGAAACTCATCTGGTATAGCAGAACTCTTCTGCCTTGATTGCTGCTCCCCTAAGCACTGTCTTTGGTCGGTCTGCCTGTTCTGCTCCTTGCTCTGTCTCTGGTGAATTCTCTCACCCTCCCGCAACTCTGACCTGTACCACAGTTTTTGTATAAATAAATAAATCTTTAAAATATATCTTTATATCTTTATCTTAAATCTTTAATATATATATATATATATATATATATATATATATATATAAAGTCTTTTTGACAAGTCTCCATGGGCAAATGAAAAAGGGTTTCCCTCATTGCTGTCAACTTTTATGTATTTAATCTCTTAAAGGATTGGTGTAAGTAGAAAGATAGGGAATAATGTAAATGTTTATTTTTAAAGATTTATATATTTATGCATACAAGAACTGGGATATAAGCCAGAGGTGTGAGTGGTAAGAAGATTCACCAAACAGATTGGGAAGCAGAATAGGCAGATTTACTGAAATTCACTGCTGAGGGGAGCAATGGGTGAATCAGGAGAGGTCTGCTGCACCCTTAGGGTTGCTCCTGCCTGGGGTTAGAACTCTTGCTGCAGTGGCTGCGAGATAGTTTCACAGTGCTGCATCCTAACCCTTTGTGCCACCAGGGGCACTCTAAATCATTTTGATAATCAAAGATATAGTAATGGGCAGAATACATTATCAATATTCAGATTAAAGGGGGACCCCCCAGATGCTAGATACCTCCAAGTATTTTTTCAATAAAATAGCCTTATCTACAAACAGTTACAAGTTATGCAGTATTCTACTGGCTCACATAAGAGACCTAAAGTCCCTTTAGTTAAACTCTTTGCTCTTTAAGCAACTATTTATTTAAAAAATATTTGCAGTTGCTGCAAAAGGGTAAAATATCCCCAATTTGGTGACTACTTTTAGTGTCCAGTCTTTTTTATTTTTATTTTTTTATATTTTTAAAGATAAATTTATTCATTTACACAAGATCCGAAGTACAGTCCAGATGTGCGGGCAGGTGAGAGGATTCACCAGAGACAGAGTAGGGAACAGACAGCAGACTGACAAAATACACTGCTGAGCAGACAGCGGTTGTGAAGGAGAGGTCTGATGCGCCATGTGGGACCCTTGCTGGCCGGCCAGGATTGAACCAGTGCTGCTGAGGCTCCACACAGCTTTACAGCATGGCGCTCAACTGCCTGCACCACCAGGGGATGCCCATGTCCAATCTTCTTTAATAATAGTGTAGAGATTCCATATGATCCACTAATTCCACCTCTAGGTATTTACCAAAATGACACAGAAACATTAATTCAAAAGGGCACCTGCACCTCTATGTTTATAGCAGCACTGAGTCCTCCCACCCAGTTGACTCCCACCAGTTGGGAATTATATTTTTTTCTTTTTTAAAAAGATTTATTTTTACTTATGTATATAAGAACTGGGGTACAGGCCAATGAGATTGTGGGGTGAGAGGATTCACAGAGACAAAGTAGGGAACAGTACAGGCAGATTGACTGAAGTGCATTGCTAAGGGGTACAGCAGGCATACCATGAGCTGCACCATGTGGGTTTCTCCTTGGTGGGCCAGAAATTGAACTTTTGCTGCATTGGCGGTGGACAGCTTAATAGATTGTGTCTTAACCCCTTGTGCCACCAGGGAGGCCCCCAATTGGGAATTTTCATTGAACCTGCAATTTTAGACAACAGGTAAAAACCATCTAGTCTCTTAATATGTGGACAATGATTCTGTCTTGTAATACATGTAATTTCTTTATATATATATATATATGTGTATATATATATATACACATACACATATATACATATATGACATATATAACATATATGGAGACAGACACACACACACACACACACACATATATATATATATATACACATTTATAGTCAATCATGATATTTTAGTAAATTGTCTCATGTCCAATTTATTTAGCTAAAAAAAGACAAATACAGGAACTTATAAAGCAACACATTGAAAGCATAGGTCTTTCTAAATTGACTTTTAAGAAATTATATTTCCCAATAGAGTACTATGAAGTACTATTTGAAGTAGTTGTTTTTATTATCTACACAAATACAGTTCTTGGTGGATTTTCCTAATATAGCATAGGTGGGTGGGAATGCTGCTTAAAATGTCACTTGTATTTTTCATCTTTTTTGTAAATTTCATCTCAGCCTTCCTAGTGTAGGAAGAATAATAGCCCACTAAAGGTATCCATACTATAATCTTCAGAACTTATGTTCTGAGTTCTAAAGAATAAAAGGGGTTTTCCAGAGGTAATTGAGTTCAAAATAAGTTTATTCTGAATTATCCAGATGTGCCTAAAATACAGATTTATTTTAAGGGAAAGAAGAAAGGAGAGAGAGAGAAGGAAATAATGAAGAATTAAAACAAAGGTGGAATGATGCCTTTCAGAGCTAGTAAATGCATGTCTACAGAATTAGAAGGCGTGGGAAGGAAGTTATAGCCTTAATGTTTAGCCATTAAGATGCCTTTTGGACTTCATGTCTACAGAAGTGTGAAATACTAGATTTAAATGTCTGTGGTAATTTGATTAGCAATAAGAAGTGAGTATTTTTTTCTAAAAAATTGATTTTAAGTAATATCTATTGATACTAGGTTTGTAAAATTGGAACTTAATCATTGTCTACCTATGTGGGCAGATAGATATTGCTGTTTGGAATTTTCCTTCCTGCTCCTGTGATAACTAGATGAGAACTCATTTAATGACCACAATTTTGCCTGCTGCTCCCCTTCGCAGTGCATTTGTAAATTTAAAAAGACCAATTATAGGAACCAGTATATGTATTTTTTAGATTTATTTATTTTTATACAAGAATTGGTGTATTGGCCAGAGATGTGGCGGGGGGTGGGAAGATTCACCAGAGACAGAGTGAACAGAACAGGCAGACGGACCTAAGTACACTGCTGAGGGGAATAGTGGGCGAGACAGGAGAGGTCTGTCCCACCATGTGAGTTTCTCTCTGGCTGGCTGGGAATTGAACTCATGCTGCAGTGGCTGTGGATTGCTTCATAGGTTGTGTCTTAACCCTCGTGCCACCAGGGAGGCCCGGAACCAGTATATCTTAATCTGCCTACAAAAATATAAACCACATAGGAAGACTTAATAAAATGAATTTCTCCAACATTTTTCCATATCTCTCTACTAATTCAGAGTAATAATAAATGGTAATAATAAATGCAGAGTAATTAATTAACTAGTTAATTTAATTTTTATGTTCACATGATGTAATAAGAGCTAAAGAGTCTTATCAATCCAAATTATTTTTTACTTGTTTTTACAATTTTACAATTTTTTACATATTTTGTTTTTTTTAATATTTTATTTACTTTTGCATAGAAATAGGGTATATGCCAGAGTTGGGGACAAGAGTCTGAAAAGATTCAACAGAGAAAGAGTGAGAAGCAGAACAGGAAAATCTACCGAAATGCACTGCTAAGGGTGAAGCAGGAAAGGAAATTTATGTCATGTGGATTAGGTTTCTGGGGCCTTCACAGTGGTAGTGCTGACGATAGTTAATCCCTAGGCCACTACAGAAGCCATACTTAGATAAAACAGACTTAAAACTCAAAAAAATAAAAAGAGACCCCAGTGGTCACTACATTATGATCAAGGGAACAATACTTCAAGAAGAAATAACACTCATTAACATATACGCACCAAACGAAGGAGCACCAAAATATATCAGACAACTTTTGTCTTCTCTGAAAACAGACATCAGAGTAAACACATACAAAGTGGGAAACTTCAACACACCACTATCAAAAATGGATAGATCAACAAGACAAAAAATAAGTGGCGGGAGGGGAAGGATTGGGTCAGAATGGGGCGTTTGCAATTGTATGGGGGAATATAAAAATAAAATTTAATATTAAAAAAAAAAAAGAAACTAAAGCTCTAAATAAGGACCCAGAGCATTTGGACTTAACAAACATCTGTAGA